CTACAAATAATTAATAAAGCTTTACGCTGATTTGAGATTTGTACACTTATTTAAGAAAGCAAATTTGATTTGCTAAGTTGCAAATTAGTTGCGTATAACTTTCTTGGCATGTGATTGAAATTAAGGCTTGAGAATGAATCTCAATATTATTTAGCCTATTATGTCATTAATTGAGGGTAAGACATTGGGATGCTCCATAATGATAAGAGTTGGGTTTGAGTCCCAATTTATTATGGCCTAACATGTCTTTATATTGGTAAGATATTGGATTTGAGTCCCACTATACTATATTGATGATATAATGATGACTAAAGAAAAATAATATATTTTTCATTAAAGGCATAAAGATTGTCCCACTTGATTTGCTCCATTCTTGAAGTGAATGTGGTAGCAGTGCATAATAAATTTAAATGAAGACAAGTGGTCGAACACCGAACATGGGCGTTCCAAAGATCAAAACAATAATCATCATCACTATGATTATAAAAGGAGAATAATAGGGGTTCTCAAAACAGTCCTTCAAAATAAGAAGGCAATGTTTACCATTAAATTGGTATGAAAATAATAAAGCACGTCGTTGATTATGATCCATTCCTTGAAGAGAATGTGACTTGTGATAAGCATTGAGAATGCAAATCCATTCCTAAAGTTTAATGTGGCAATATGTGATAAAAGCAATGAATAAAGACATGCGATTCATGCTTATTTGAATACCACACAACTCACATCTAAGGGAGGTTTGAGTGAAATAAAGAGAATAAATATTATTGTGTGGTTACATGAATATGTCATTAGTCGCGTACATGTGATACGCCAGATATTATTTTGCCATGCCATATAAAAGTTATTAAAGGCAAAATTAAAGAAATAAATAATTTTGCTTATGATGATTCTGACCATGGCAATTTATTATGATATAAGTTTCTCCGTGAAGGAGACATTTGCCATATGAATGGTATGATAAAAGATCTTGTAGTACAAAAGTTGTTAAGAGCTCCGAAAAAACTAATTTGTTACTATCGGGATGAATAAAATTATTCATGACATTGATATTGTAAAGTCTCAAAAGAAACTTTTTGAGTTTCAAATGTATAAGTCAAAGTGGTTGGCATATTGAGACTATAAATAAAAGGAAGATTGAATATCTTCATATTTCTATAATCATACTGGATAAATATGAAAGGTTACCCGATTTTCTTTCTATTTGTACTACACAAATATAAGCATGATGATGGAATCATATGCCACAAGTAAACTAGAGGTTTACTAAAACAAATATTAGTTGGCATAACCGATTGACCATCCTGGTTCAATTATGATGCGAAAAATTAATTGAGAATTATATTGGCATATATTGAAGAATAGAAGATTCTTCAAGAATTATTTTGTGCTGCTTATTCTCATGATATACCAGTTAAGGTTGGGATTGAATCCCTTAATTTCTAGAACAAATAAAAGGTGATAAATATATGGGCCCGGTCACCTGCCATGTGGACGATTTTAATAGATGCATCTATTCTATGGTCACATGTGCATTTGTTATCAACTTACAGTTTGGC